ATAAAGTCTTTTTAGAGGATTACACAATTACTGGTGAACCAGTAGTTTCCATTGTGGTCCTTGCAAACAAATGAAACAAATGGTCTAAATTGAACATAACATCATCAAGAACATCATTAAGAACCTCAACTGGCCGGAGGCAAACCAGTTGGCTATTTACAAGCGTGACCAAGGATCTGAACTCGGGGCTACCGTGAAACAAATCCAGTGGTCAGGGTGGGACTCGAACCCAGGAGCGGCGGATTATGAGTCCGACACTCTAACCACTCGGCCACACTGCCTCCACTGGACTGGATTGACTTCAAATTTTATACAAGGGTTCATACATTCTGTCATAGAGATTATTTTCCAAGAAAAGAAATTATTGTTAATTTTGACCTCCACTTTGTATAAGGGTCTAACTTACTCTAATGGACACATACTTGTAAGTAACTAATATTTACCTTTTCCCAGTTTTGCCACCAAGCCTCAAATTCCATGGTGCTGCTTCAGGGTTCTTGGGTTTTGGAACAAACCCAAAACGTTTCTTGCGAGCATCCTCGCGTCTTTCTCTGCCGAATTCACTACCTGCTCCATAAGTTGGCATATTTTCACTTTCTCTCTCTTCAATTGCATCTGTTTGACGGGACATCTGAGCCTATAAGGTTCATCAATTATCTAATGCTCCAGTTCTTTGTTGTTCACTATACTAAAATTTCAAGTGCCCTGAGGCACTACCTTAGAATGTCTTGAATTTAGTATAATCTCTGAAAATTTGGGTTATTTTGATTAAATTCTAGACCACTTCAAATTTTGGAAAACAGAGCAAAAAAAAAACAGCCAAATAAGTCTCAGGTATCACCTCAATTGTGAACTGTATCATCTTTTGTATAAAGGCTTCTATCTATTTTACCATTTCTATTTTAAGTTTCTTGTTCAATTTAACAGCCACTGCACATGTTTATTTCTAGTCATAAGACAACACATCCAAAACTAAATCTCATAATGTTTGATCAAATTATAGCAAGCTTTTTAAGGAAAAAAATTAGTTTTACTAAAGTTAACATTTACAAGTCTCTGAAAGAAAATTGTACCTTTGTGATTGATGAGAAGTCTACTTTTGTGCTCTGAAAACGCATGACTGAATATTTCTTTGCAAGGTGCCTAAAAAAGTAAGTAAAAAAAGATTGATTAGAAAGTTTACTAAGTATTACCATTACTGCCTTTTCAGCAGACATCAATGGATGTTACAGGTTTTGCCCCTTTGTTTGTCAGTGGGCCCTGGGACCCACTTGGTCAGCTTAGTTTCCCAGGCCCAATTGGTTAGGAGCCCATGTGTTGCATCTTTAGTTTCAGCAGAGTTCACTTTACAACCTCATTATTTGTCAGTTTATCACTCATCGCAGCACCATCCATGTAAGTTTTCATCTTTCTGTTATTTTATTGTTTTCCCTTGTCGTATTTTCTGTCTTCTGTTTCCACTTCATTGTTTTCTGTATTTTATTTGCATGTAGTTTCACCACTCGACACCGAAGATAAATAACACATTGATTTGCATAGTCTTTGTGTTTGGTTGAACACTATGCTAAGAATGCGACAATGGAAACAGACCATTGAGTTGGTATCTTTGCAATGACCTCTCATTTGACATAAAACAAAGTAAAAACATTTTTCTGTAAACATCAAATCTAAAATGTGTAAACCAGGGGTGAAAATAAATACCTATTTCCATTTTTCCTATTCCCTAAGCCCCAGCTCAGTGTGTAAGTTATATTGTTAGGACAGAAGTCTCCCTGAGAACAGGTGAGGAAAAAAGTGTAATCTGTTATAAGAAAGTATGACTTACACAGACCCCATTTGAGATTTCAAAGAGGGAGTAACCTGACCTTTCCAAAAATTCTTCAAATGTGCTCAAACTTTGGCACAAATTGTTCCCATTCTGAATCTTACTCAACAGCCTGGCTACTTAACAGTTATACAACAAAGTCATGTCCCCTATTACATCTTATGGTGGTTCAAAAGAACAATCAGGAGCTACACAAACAGGCTTTTTGGACTCAATTATATTTTTGTGTGGTGGATGATTGAACAGTTACTGTAAGTAGTAATTTTTTGTGAACTGTATAAGGTTTCTGCCCTTTACATAGAATTCTGGGATGTGAGCTTGTGCAGCCAAGTTGCTGAGTTGTTTTGCAAATGACTGCATCCACATTCAAATTTTAACACATTTACAAGCAATTATTTTTTAATAGTAATTAGGTTACCTAAGAAAAAATGCAGTAAGCAGTTAATTTTCATACCTAGTACTTCAGAACAGATTGGCTTGTGAGCCAAGAAAATCAATGAATTGAGAGAAGAAAGTGTGTGATTTCAAACATATCATAAGCTTGTATCATTTTCACCTTTAAGTTAAGGAATACTTTACACAACACAAAAGTAATTAAAATGTTCTCAAGTATGCAACTCATTTTACCCTTTACATCACAATATCAATAGGCATATTCTCGGTACTCTTCTTTGTATATTTCCTCCAGTGATGACAAGGAAAATTTGTTTGACAATGAAGAGCTTCCTTTGCTGATGATCATTTCCATTAATCTCATGACCTTACTGTGTGATTCAGAGGTGAGAATGTAAGAAGAAATTAGATACTGGTCACTTCTTACCTTGGTACTCGTACTTTGTAGGTGTTGCCATTGCCTCCACTTGGTAAAGCTGAACCTGAGGCCTGGGGTATCACTCCAACCTGTTGAATTTCCAAACCTTTTATCAGAGCTACACTCCCTGTCAGCAAAATGCCATGTAAAAATGATTTTAACTTTACTTAATTACCTAGCTCTATTTTACTCTATATTATGAATTTTTTACAATAACATTAAGTAGCTTAAAATTTACAAATCATTAAATCATAATCGCAAAAGTCCATCCATAGATATGATAATTTTGTTGTACAATTACTTGCAGAAAGTTTCAAAGACCACTTGAGGCATTTGGATAATCATGTTCAAGCATTTATCAGCACTGATATAGTGGTTCTATTCAAGTATCCCAGTCCAAGGTCTTTGAGAACCTTATGGCCATGACTTCCCTAGCAGACACAGAGCCCTTCTTTCTGACTTGTTCCTTTGGTCAGCTATAAGGGTACCTCGGCAAGCATTGAGAGCTCATGGCTAGGTTGCGGTAATTTCCCAACCAAAGGAGTGGTAATTTATCTGGGGGGCTTGCTGGTCAAAGTGGACTCTCCTAGTTGTAACCAGGAAATACCCCTGATTTACACTGATAACATTAGCTTACAATAACTCCACATGACTCAGATGCTTGATTGTCTAGCTTAATTAGGGTATGATAAATCTAAAATATGTTAATAATTTGGATATATCAACAAAGTTGACATGGTAAATTGGCCACCATAATGATTACAAAAGCTGACGTTTCGAGCATTAGCCCTTTGTCGGAGCGAAGGGCTACCACCCGAAACATCAGCTTTTGTAATTGTTACGGTGGCCAATTTACCATTTCAACTTTGTTGATATATCCAAATTATTTTGTTACCCCCACCGATGCAGCCCCAAACAGTTTCTTTAGAAACTATCAGCCTTTAAAATATGTTAAGACTGATTGACCCAAATTTCTGGTATATCTCGAGTATTCAAGGTAAGATTTCCACACAACCCCATTCTTTATTCTATATCAATACTTTTTTGTATAGAGAAAAAAATGGATTGGCAAGATTTCCGCATAACCCCATACTTTATTATGTGTACAATTCTTGGATAAAAGAAAACAGAGGCAAAACAACGCCTATGGGACTTCAGCTTTTTTTTTGATTGGTATGGGGTTGTACGGAAATCTTTCTGTCTTCAGAAACACTATCCAACACAACAGTTAAAGAAAGATGGAAAAAAATGACGAAATGGTGAAACAAAGAATATCTGATGAGTCGCACTTGGTGTAACACGAACAATCATGTGTAAAAATTTGAGAGAAAAGCAACACAGACTGAGAGATCGACCCAAAATTACTTCAGTTACACAGGAAATACAGAGGGGTAACAAAATCTTTAACATGACTACTTAAGTAATCAGTGTTATCGTATTTGGATTTCTTCTGATAACTTAATTAAAAAAACATTTCTTTCTTTTCACACTATGTATTATGTAATTACTAGAAGAAGGAATGACCTAAAACCACCTACAACCATCTAAAACCACCTACAACCACCCACAACCACCACCTACAACCATCTAAAACCACCTAAAACCACCTACAACCACCTTCAGAATACTATTGTGTGACAATTTGTGACAATGTAAATGCACACCAGAAATGTTGTCGCATGTCTCGCATGTCATGACCAGGAAAAACAAGAGAATTTTTTACACATAGTTACTAAAACAAGGAATGACCTACAATGACCTACAGTGAGCTACTGTAAGGATCCCTGCAATGAAGTAAATGAAGATTTTAGAAAAAAGGCAAAACAAAAAAACAAAAAAACAGGAGACGTGTGCATTAACGTAACATGTTTGATAACAGAATTTCTAGCTTGGAGATAAATTTACGGTGTATTATAATGAGACATGTCTAATGACGATAATGATAAAAAAATGCAAAAAACCTTTGGCTTAAGATGTCTTTGAGGGTCTTATATAACAAGCCTTCCATAATTTTACACTATCATGTAGACTTGCTCACAAGTCGCGCTTTTGAGCGCGTAGTGCGAGTGCGAAGCGCGAGCCGAGCCAAGCCAGCGACAGCAAGCGAAAGTGCGAGTCCTACCATACCAGAACAGAAAACCAAGCGAACAACTTTGAGAAAGTCTAACTATCATGAGTCGTATTTGGCCTGTCAACACCTTTTACTCATTGATATTTTCATATCAAAACCATTAATAAGGTCACGTATCACAGCGCCGTGAGACTATGAGACGTATTTGGCCTGCCAACACCTTTAACTCATTGATATTTTTAGAGAGCAAAACAAAAAGGCCATCACACCATCATGGGGCTAGAAAGTCACGCAAGCCACGCCACAATTTTTCGTAACACTCAAAATAGCTCCCTGTAGGTCATTGTAGCTCATTGTAGGTCATTGTAAATCATTGTGGATCATTTTAGGTCATTCTTTGTTCCCACGGTAGCTCATTGTAGGTCATTCCTTGTTTTAGTAACTACGTGTAAAAAATTCTCTCGGTGTTTTTCCCTAGTCATGACATGCGAGACATACAACAACATTTCCGGTGTGCATTTAAATTGTCACAAATTGTCACACAATAGTATTCTGAAGGTGGTTGTAGGTGGTTTTAGGTGGTTTTAGATGGTTGCAGGCGGTGGTTGTAGGTGGTGGTTGTAGTTGGTTGTAGGTGGTTTTAGGCCATTCCTTCTTTTAGTAATTACGCTCTGTATTACCTTCGGTTGAAGGATCGGCTTTGCAGTCACTTGAATTGGGGAGGCAGTTCTATGCTTTTCCATTCCTTCCCTCTTAAACAGCGGCAAATAGAAGAAAGAGTAAAGGAAATCCAAACAGCTTTAAACAAGCGAAATGTATCTGGTAATCAAAAGGGTGCCATATTGAATCCTTAGTAACCTCCCTAACTTGACTTAGTGACCACGTCGCAATGACTGGAGGAATCCGCTATTTCATTATCTGGTCCAGTTGTTCGAAGGCCGATTATCACTAATCCGGGGTTAAAGTTTGATTCAGGTTTCCATATTTCTCTATTCAAAGAACCTTTATGACATAATTTGCCTGTTCTTTTTAGAGCATCCGATCATCAAATTGTAGACGCAAAATAATTAAACTGAACTTTCTCCTAAAGCTTTCAGATCTGAAATCAAATTTCATGCTAACCCTGGGTTAAGTTAACTCAGCTTTGAACAACCCGTCCCTGGTTGTCTATCCATAGAGATCACCATAATTATTGTTGTTGTTATCATTATTTTTATCGTCATCGCTGTCATTATTGGTTTTACTGTTATTCTTGTTAATATTATCGTCATTATCATTGTCATCGTTATCATTACAATGGATCATCGTCATATTATCGTTTTGTGTCAAAGAAGAACGGAGGGTCCTAGTTAGGCAGTGGGGATCACATGGCTAAGAGCACGTTTATAGTTTGCGATTCAATTTTGAGATCTTTGCATACGAGTGTAAGAGGCTCCGAAACGCCATTTCGTAACGCAAATATAGTCTTAGATGATTTTAAATTAAATGCTAAAGTTACACAAGATTGTGTGATTTGGTTCTGCCCCCAGGTTATGCGATGTTTTATCGAGTGTGTTTGGAGAGCTTGCTTTCAGAAACTTACCATGCACGTAGGTCAAGTTACGCTCTCTATGGTGGAATAGAGAATTAACTCTGAAGCGTAAATTAAACTGCCAGGGGAAACCTATGAAAAACCCACTGTGCATTAGCCCTAGTAAAGGGTATCAGGGAACCACACGAGGTGAAGAAAAATTCTTATGACCTCGGTGGGAATCGAACCCATGGGTTTCTCCTAGCAGTTTAATTTACACTTCAGAGTTAATTCTCTGTTCCACCATTTGTGTTTAAAGTGCTACGCGGCACAACATTTATGCTCTCTATGGACACCTTTTAAACGATTTTTAGGCTTTCAAGTTTTGATATGGAATTGATTTTGGCGATATAATTTTTTTATCATCGTAATCATAATCAATATTAGTATAATCCGTGATCATTATAATTTCTATGCAAGTTGTATACAGACAAAGAGGACCTCCAGTAATACATGTATCGCCCAGAAAACGAGGTGAAATCACTCTTTAATTGAAAGGAGCAGCCCAGACAAGTAACGAAGTGGTCATTGTTTATTCAGAGTACGAAAACCGTCTTGAAATAGACGGAAACAGAGCCGTTCTGTACGGCCCTTCGTGCGACACGCGTGAAAACATGGAAAAAGTGATGCTATCTACCAGTCAATCAGATACGTTGGGAGTTGGTAATTCAGTTTTAAGACAATTCTTTTTTGGCGCATCCCGAGAAATATATTCCAAGAGGCTACATTGTCAACACAGATCCAGATGATTACCCGCAGAAAAGTATTGGATTACCTTGTCGACTTACCAAGGGATCTGTGAGGTTTTAGATAGATACGCTTCACCCTCAGAGGCTATGAAACAGCAAAACCTCTTAAAAAGTGGATTGAGAAACACTGGAACGAAGTGAGAAAAAAATAAAAAACCAAAAGACCTTGAAATCTTTAGGGAATACGATTTGTGGTGATTATGCCTCTTTTATTTTCATTTCATCGCGCAAGAGGATGTTCTATGTCACATTATTTGAATTTGTTTAAAGATAAGGATAAAGATAAGGATTACGTGGCTAACGATCATAAAGTAGGAGAGATATTGACCAATGTAGTAAAGTAACAAGTTCTCGTAAACGATACGTTATTAAAATAGTGAAAATAAAAGGCAATTACTTTATATATGAGTATTGATTCATTTTGTGGGAACTATACTCTGGAAAACATCATCATGACATCGTGTTTGTCATTCGGCATCCTTTAAATTTAAGTCACCCTCGAACATTTCAATTGCTGGACCCTCGAGCTGCGGAAAGACTGCATTCACAGAATGGTTACTTTTACACAATAAAATGATTAATCTATTTGAAACTAGACCGATACAAATTATCTATTGTTACAGTGCATGGTGAGATCGCTTTCAAAGAATGAAAAAGTCTGGTATTAAGTTTCTCAAAGGTGCACCATCGTTGGAGGACTTACAAAAGTAGTTTGAAGATAGAAAAGGCGGTCTGCCGGCTGTGATGAAAGTCTATAATTCACGTTCGGAAAGAACTTACTTCTGGATTTGCATCGTGCTAGTTCAGACGATAAGAGAATTCTAGGTCGTTCGTTAAAACACGAAGGTTGCACTAGTCGCTATCAAAAAAGCAAAATGTCTGGCGACTAGGAGGACACTGATGATGAAACACCGATGAAACTTTGGACTTAGAAATGACACGTACATATGGTAGACAGCAACCTATTTCTAGTGGATGAAGAACTGTGAGTAGCAGTATGCAGTAGTGGTTGCAGTGGTAATAGAAGAGGTAGACGTGGTGGAGGAAGAGGAGGTGGACGTCGTGGTAGACGTGGCGGCAGTATAGTAGTAGTCTGGGTGACGGAAGTGATGATGGCAAAGATAATAACAACAATGAAATTGCACCGACGGTTGCAAACATTACTTGATGATCAAAATCAAGCTGCGGCGGGAAGGAGAATTGCCGGAATCATTACCTCGAATACAATTACTACAATCTATAAAGGCGGTGGACGACCTATAGTAACACGTTATTCTATGAAAACGAGCAACTGAGCAGACATGCCAAAACGCAACAGAGCTACCAGTTCAAAAAAGGGAAAAGGTACGAAACGACGAAAACGTCAAACTTGTTTGCTCATGAGAAACCTGAGAAGAAACCAATATTGTGGAGAACTTCCTCTTTTGGCTTTGATCCCAGCCGCCGCCGCAATAGGAGGATTAGGAGCCCCAGCAGATAATGGGGTCAAAAAAGGATTGCAAAAAAATTATTTGAACAAAGAAAACAGGAATATTTTATCAGTTGTTTGGTATCATCATCACCATAAACTAAGATGGAAAATATTAGGCGTAACAAAGATATTCTGCTATCAATTTTAAGAGAGACTAATCGTCAAAAACTGTTTCATGCTGATAAAGATCAAATGAGTAAAAGAGTATTGTGAGTGAATTTGCAAATAACATCGAAAGGACGTGTACCATAACCTCCATTACTTCACAAGTAAATTAAAAAAAAAGTTTTTAAAATGATACATCAATTGTATATTACACAGTTTGTTTGCGCGTTGTAGTTAAGTTTAGGGTTTATAAAGTCTATAAACCATGAGCCAAAATCTTTATGTACGGATGGTATAACCGGAAGCGCGGAAGAGAAAAGGAAAAGCGGAAACAAAACACAGATGTTAACCGGGAATTTTTTTAAATCTAGCAAAGGTGCTTTTAACATACAGGAGCTGTAAATTGACATGTGTCTTAATTTTTTTTTCGCTAAAATATTGGGATCTGAAGTCACTTGAAGGCGACACTACCCCTCAACTAAACTCCGCAGACCACCGAAAAGAAACTCAGATTGTAAAGAATCTTACCACGAAACTGTGAAAGAAAATATTTTCGTGATAAGTTTATGGGCTAAACACTAGATTACAAGGCCACTTTCGGGCCACTTTTAACAATCCACCAAAGGAGCCGGCTCGTTTTGACTCGTTTGCTCCTCCCACTGCCGAACCAAACGAGCCACTAAAACATATAGACCTATGACTTAACGTGGATATTCATCATTACTTGTTCGATCCACTGCTGATTCAACCGAGCCAATAGATATATGCTTCTTCAAAAGTGTCCCCATATGGTTTGTGGTTGGTAGATTGTATCACGTTCGCTTTTCCTTTTAATTAACTGTCTTGTAAAAAAAAAATGTACATCATTGAAAAACCAACATATTCGATGATTTGAACATTAAGAAAACAAAGAAAACCAAACAAACGAAACCAAAACGAACAAAAAAAAAACTGATTAAAATGACCCAATACTCTTCACCGTGACCATGGTTAATGGTTACCATCACCACCAAAGAACACGATACGCATTCGCCTAAATCCTTCCTCAAAGGAAAAATGAATATGTCGTGCAATATTTTAAGTTGTTCGAAAACAACGAATACGAGCTCCAAAATAAGCTGACTCTATCTAAATCAAGCAAGAAAAATCAGAAAGAAAAATCAAGCAAGAAAAATCAAGGTAAAATCTCCATTCTCCTGATGAGATTGCACCTTGAAATGAATGCTTTTGTCAAAACATGTGACATTTAATTCATGCATGTAAATAGTTTACGTTCGTAATTAAGCCCATATGTGTTCGCACTGTCGTCGTACTTTTCTATTTGATAGCCAACTTTGGGTCAGTTGGATTAATCAAAACATCATCAGAGGATGAAAAAACGTACTTTTTGGGTAAATTGAATAATTTTGAAGATATTTTGTTCACTTGGGGAAAGATTCATACCCAACTATTATGATAAGCGAAAAAAACTGGTACAACTTTTCATTGGCATATGGTATTGGGTGGACTGGACTGGACTGGACTGGACTGGACTGGACTGGACTGGACTGGACTAGTAAAACGTGGACTAGTAAAACGCGGACTAGTAAAACGTGGACTAGTAAAACGTGGACTAGTAAAACGTGGACTAGTAAAACGCGGACTAGTAAAACGTGGACTAGTAAAACGCGGACTAGTAAAACGCGGATTTAACAACAACAACAACAAAAAAAAACAATTTCATACGAAGGCGATCACAAGACTTAATGGCGAGCCAATTTAGTGAGTGACAATCCCTGGTTGACCTTTAAGCTACAAATGGGTTTGACATGCGCCAGATACAAATGATTTTATAAGTTTAGGCTAACAAAGAAAGAATTTTATTCAGCAGCAGTTCAAAATCTTAAAATACATTTTCGTCGTAAATTTCACGGCAGAAACGCAGGAATTCGATGAATAGAAGTCGCATTAAA